CAATTTTTCGATTTTGCAATTTTTCACTGTTTCGTTTGTCCAATTTCCAAATTTTCGTTTGTTCGATTCTCTAGTTTTACAATTTTTCGGTTTTAAATTCTGGTTTTAATTTTCGATTTTTCAATTTTTCAAGTCTTCAATTTAAAGTTCCTAAATGTTCCGATTTTTCAACTTTTGCATTTGTCAATTTCTGGAAATTCTAATTTTTCATTTTTTCAATTTTTCAATTTATCAATTTTTAATTTTTCATTACTCCATTTATTCATGTTTCAATTTTAAATTGTAAAATTTTTCAAAATTTGTATTTTCCATTGTTTTGTTTGTTCATTTTTTGAACTTTTGAATTTTTCTATTTCTAGACATTTTAATTTCTTTTTTCAATTTGTTCAGTGTTAAAATTGGAACTTGAATATCCAATTTTAAAATTTTATATTTTTCAATTTCCAATTTCCCAATTTTTCGTTTGTTTCATTGTTTTGGTTGTTGCAATTTTTCAATTTTTCGGTTTTAATTTCTCTTGTTTTTAATTTTCGATTTTTCAATTTAAAGTTGTTAAATGTTTCAATTTTTCAACTTTTGAATTTTTAGATTTCTAGATGTTTTAATTTTTCGTTTCTTCAGTTTTTTGATGTGCAATTTTTCGAGTTTTCAATTTGAAGTTTTTGATTTTTCAACTTTTGGATTTTTCAGTTTCTTGGTGTTTGACTTTTTCATTTTTTCACTTTCTCAATTTTTAATTTTTCATTACTTCAATTATTCAAGTTCCAGTTTTAAATTTAAAAATTTTTCAAGATTTGAATTTTTTATTTTTTCGTTTGTGCATTTTTCCAGTTTTGCAAATTTTTCATTTTTCGGGATTTCAAGTTGAAGTTTTAAAATTTTTCCATTTTTGAATTTATGAATTTTTCAATTTTCACACATTTTAATTTCTTTTTTCAATTTTGATTTTTCAGTTCCCCGATTTTTCACTTTTTTATTTATTCAATTTAACAATTTTTAACATTTCTCAATTTAGCAATTTTCGATTTTTCAGAGTTAAAAATTTAAAATTGGAACTTGAATACCCAATTTTAAATTTTTAAATTTTTCAAAATTCAAAAATTTTCAATTTCTCGTTTGTTCAATTTAACGATTTTTGAAGATTTTCTGGTTTTTTATTTTTCGATGTAGACTTTTCCATTTTTAAGTATGTATTTTAATTTTTAATTTCTCTTTTCTTAATTTTTTGTTTTCATTTTTGCGTTTTTTCCAATTTTCTAGTTTTTTACTTTTTCGTTTGTCCAGTTTCCAATTTTCCAATTTTTCGTTTGTTGAATTCTCCAGTTTTGCAATCTTTCAATTTTTCGCTTTTAATTTCTCTTGTTTTAATTTTCAATTTATCAAGTTTTCGTTCTGCAATTTTTCGAGTTTTCAATTTAAAGTTTCTAAATTTTCGATTATTCAACTTTTGAGTTTTTGATATGCAATTTTTCGAGTTTTCAATTTGAGGTTTTTCGATTTTTCAAATTTTGAATTTTTCAATTTCTGGATATTTTAATTTTTCGTTTTTTCGATTTTTCAGTTTCTCAACTTTTAATTTCTCATTACTTAAATTATTCAAGTTCCAATTTTTAAATTCTACGATTTTCCAAGACTTTTTGTTTTTTATTTTTCGGTTTTGCAATTTTACAATTTTTCGATTAAGACTTCTTCATTTTTAAATATTTTAATTTCTGTTTTTTTAGTTTTTGATTTTTAATTTTTTCTTTTATTAATCTTTCGATTTTTCATTTTTGCGTTTCTTCAGTTTTTCGATTTGCAATTTTTCGATTTTTTAATTTCTCGATTTTTAAATTTTTCGACGTTTCAGTTTACAACATCGAATTTTCAACTTTTGAATTTTTAGATTTTTCGTTTGTTCAATTTTCCAATTTTGCGATTTTTCATTTGTCGAATTTCCAATTTTCTAATTTTTGTTTAGTTCTCCAGCTTTTCAATTTTTCAATTTTTGAGTTTTTAGATTTCTACATACATATTTTAATTTTTCTTTTTTCATTTTTTTTTTTATTTTTCAATCCTCGATTTTTCAATTTGAGGTTTTTCGATTTTTCAACTTTTAATTGTTCGATTTCTGGATATTTTAATTTTTCGTTTCTTCAATTATTCAAGTTCCAATATTAAATTTTTAAAGATTTGGATTTTTTAATTTTTCGTTTGTTCAATTTTACGATTTTTCAAATTTCGATTTTTTAGTTTTCAATTTGTTATTTCTCGGTTTTTCAAGTGTGTATTTTTTCGATTTAAATTGTTTAACTTTCAAATGTTGTAATTTTTGTTTAACCAATTTTTCATTTTTAATTATTTCTCTTTTCTTAATTTTTCGATTTTTCAATTTTTCCTTACGCCAGTTTTTCGATGTACAATTTTTTGTTTTCAGTTTCAGATTTTTCAATTTATCTATTATTCAACATTTAAATTTTTCGATTTCTAAACATTTGTTTTTCGTTTTTCAATTGTTCGATTTTTCAGCTTCTCCAATTTTTGAGTTTTTTTAATTTTCCGGTCTTGCAAATTTTCAATTTTTCATTTATTCAATTTTACGATTTTCCAATTTTTGAGATTTCATTCGGTTTTTTGAATTTTTAATTTTTAAATACATATTTATTTTTTTCTATTTAAAATTTTTCTGTTTTTATTTTTTTTTTCGATTTGCGATTTTTCGTTTCTTCAATTTTTCCACTGGCGATTTTTCGAGTTTTTTATTTGGTATTTTTTCGATTTCTAAATATTTTAATTTTTTGTTTTTTCAAATTTTCGATTTTTCGGTTTTTCCATTTTTTCAACGTTTTCGATTTTTCGTTTGTTCAATTTTCCGCTCTTACAAATTTTCAACTTTTCGGTTTTTAATTTTTCTTGTTTTAATTTTCAATTTAATTTTGTTTTAATTTTCCGTTCCTCGATCTTTCAATTTTAATTTTTAATTTTCAGTTTGTTCTGTTTTTTGATCTGTAATTTTTCGAATTTTCGATTTGAAATTTTTAAGTTTACGATTTTTCAGTTTCTATAATGTTTCAATTTTGCAATTTTTCTTGTTTTCAGTTGTACCATTTTACAAGTTTTAAATATTTTGATTTTTTGTTTTTTCAATTTTTTGTTTCTTTAGTTTTTCGATTGTCAATTTTTCAGTTTAGAGTTTTTTAATTTCTAGATTTTTGTTTTGAATAATCTCTAGATCTTTACCCTTTTTTCCCACATCTCCATTTTTCAGTTTCTCGATTTTTCAATTTCGAATTTTCAGCTACTGAATTTTTCAATTTTTCGTTTGTTCAATTTTATAATTTTAAGATTTTTTCCAATTTTTTATTTTTCAATTTTGCATGTTTTGATTCGACAAATTGCGAATAGATCCATATTTTGATTTTTCTTTTTTCAATTTTTCGTTTCTTTAATAATTCTACGATTTTGCAATTTTTCGATTTTTTTTTAATTATGCAATTTTGGGGCTTTTATTATTATTATTACTATTTTTTTGTAAAAATTTAAAACTTCTAATAGCTGATATTTTCAAAACTGTGTACAAACTTTTGATGACATGCTACATTACTTTTCGAATTTTAGCATTTAAAATGAAAGAATCTGGAGTAAACTTACAATTTTGGAAAACTGTTAAAGGTTTTTAATTTCTGCAAAACCCAACTCTCTCCGGTAACAGTCATAACTTCCTGATTTGCATAATCTAAGGTGCAGATATTTATAGTTTTCACAGTACAGTTCATTCTGTGGCAGACTTTCATAATTAAAGTTTCCAAAATTAGTTAAGATGAAGATCAGCAATTAACATTTCCTTGATCTGTGGAACAAAACTGACTTCGAAACTTGTAAAACTAGGTTTCAAATAATCATACTGCAAACACGATTCTAATTAACTCGGTGTAATAAATTAAAACGAATGTACCAAAAAATTTAATTCCTAATTAAGTTATCTTGTAAACTTGAGTCCATCACTAACGCATTTTTACAAAATAATTACGAAACCACCTTGCCACCGTATCGTACGTCCTCATTATGCAAATATATTCGCAAATATATTGACAAATCCTTCAATATTAAAAAAAAAACTAAACATTTCCACCACTCGATTGCACAATATTGTGGGCGCAGTCTCACCAACTTCACGTTCGCCTCAATTTACAAACTTCGCCTCACTCGATCCAAATTACAATCCCATATTGCCTCAAATCGGATTTCTCAATTCTTTGTAGGTCGACGCTCTATAATGAAAAAACTCTGTTTCTTTCCACAACTAGAGGCACGATTAATGTGCACTGATTCCATTCACTACCAAACTTAATAAAATAATTAATCCTGTCATAATCTCTTTTCACAGTTTCTAATTTCTCTCAAAAACTGTCTCACCACATAACAATCCAAAACACCGATCTCGATCAGTGACGCAAATCGTAAATCACCGACAAACCATACAATATAAATCATAAGAAGCCTCATTTCCGCCTCTTTGTTTATCAAAGAAGTAAACAACCTTCGCTTGAACTGTCGAAGTTGTTTTTAGGGTGAGCCGCTGTTATCGCTCGCAAAATTGAAAAACAAAGCAGATAAGCGAAGACAATGGCAAAATTCGGACCAGAACGCAAACAATTTGGCACATTTTCAAAACGCATGCAGGTTTATTTAGCTTGAGCAAGTACAAGGACGTAGTACCGCATAATAAAAATAAATAAATCTGGCGAACCTTTGCCATGAAATCGATGCTGATAATAATGAGTCATAAGTCTTTGTTTGTTGAACCGGCTTTGATAATGACCAAAGGTTAACGATGTTGTAAAAACCTGACTCGGGAGACTGCTGTTACTAAAAGGGTTTTTTAATGAGATTCGTTGGGCTGCAAACAGAGTATTGATTGATCAGCTGACAGCCCTTGAAAATTTCGGGGAAGAAAGGGACTGACAACGCGTAAAAAACTCGGTGGTGGCTACAGAACGATAGAGAGTGTCGAGACTTACCTAATTTAATTGAATTTACTTTGTATGTTTCCCCTTAAATTAAAAACGGCACTAGAAAACGAACACGAACAAACACCACCGACACCGACTAGCAACTGACAGATAAAATATTGACAAGTGGGATTGTTCAAATGTTTGAGGAGGGGCAGGATAGGCAACCGGTGAAAGTCCCTAGAAAAGTAGGCAACCAGTAATACACACGTGCTAATTTATTTTTGATAATAATACAATAGTTTTTAGTCAAGAATCCTTCGATCCGGAATGATAACGTAGTCGTCGGTCTCCCAGTCCTCCTCCTTCGGACTGTTAGTTTCGTGGGGGCGCAAAACCGTCTTCAGGGGCTTACCGTCAGGGCTTAGCGAAAAGTACGATTTGATAGCGGGGGGAATAGCCGACAAAGGTCCCGCGTTTTGCGAAAAAGGAAAATCTTCCAAAGTGTCTAAGAAGTCGACTTTTGAAAACTGGAAGTTCTGAAACAATAAGTAAATATGGTGTGTAATGAATTTGAGTTGGCGAAATTTTGGATAAATGTTCATACCTCTGGTAAACAATGATGATGCAAACAGTAGTAATTTAAATTCTTTTCACGATGGCACCACGTCCCGTCTGGAAAGTACGGAGAAACCCCTAAGTCATTCAGTTCCATCCGAGGGGTGTAGAAACCACCAGAGTCGGCTCGTCTACAAAATATGGCGCAACCCATCCAAACCCGTCCTACAATAAATATATAAATACGTTATTTGTGTTTTTTTTTATTGCTACCTTCTTCATGTGGTGCTTGCAAACCTCCACCTTGTGGGTCTAGTTCTGGTAACAATTTTGAAAATTCTTGACACTTCTGAGAAGCGTAGTCGGTTACGCTGATTCGTTTATTTTTGCATAGCTGTCAATAAAAATATAGATAAATGGTTATTTATTGATAAGTAGTACCTTTTCGTCTTTACAAATTCCAAACTCTATACTGGACCCCTGGCACCCCGAATCCGTGCTAACAGGTCTTGGATTATTACACTCCCTCTTCTTCGTCTGGAACCCCCTTGATTTCTCAATACACCCTGAACTACATTTAGTTTCCTTCCACGGTCCCCACCCCCCGGGCACCACTTTAATCGGTTTAGGAGGCGACTTCTTCACACACTCACCCCCATAACAATACTACAAACACCCATCCATTACAATCCCCCAAAAACCCCCACAAATACTAACCCTCTTACTACCACACTCCGTCCCATCTAAAGCCGGTCCTGCAAAATAATACCCGCTCCTGTGCGGCGTCTTACACTGCAAATTAAAACAAATCGAGGACAACTCTTGATTAGGAGCCACCACGGCATGCTTATCCCTCAACAAAATCTCACACTGCCTTTTAGCGGTGTAAACCTGGCCTGGGCTATCCAAAAAATGCGAATGATCTAGGTTTTTGGGTGGCCTTGCCGAGTCCTGTAAACATTTAGCCCATCCCAGTTTCGACACGACTTCTGCACTGCAGTGTGACCACTGGGTTTCGCCGTTGGTGCCCCTGGATGGCGACATAACGTAGCCTTCTTTGGGACAGGTGTTGCCTACGCTGTCGTGGTGCATGCCTAGGCTGTACTAGGTGTTATCTAGGTTTGAGGAGAGGGGGAAACGTACTTGTGGCCGATTTCGTGAGCTAAAATGTAGACGCTGGTGAAGCCTGCGCTTGGGTAAGGTTTGCCGAAGACGTTGGTGGTGCCCAGTTCGGCGATCAGGCAGTTGTATTTGTCCAGGCAGACGCCGCCTACGGTGGCCAGGCCCATGGTGACGCCGCTTTTGCGGCCGTTTTCGTAGGCGTAGAAATCAAGGCTGAATTAATAAAAAAACCTAAAGATTGTCTAGGCGTTTTAGAACTGCATACCCAGAAACGTAGAGTGCCATATCCCAGTGGTTCGGATCTTCATCATCTTTCTGATTTAAGCCACTTTGGTAGGCACAGAATGAGTCCAGGAGTTTAGATCGCTCACCATTGTAGTGAGGCATATTTGAATGTTGTTTTTTCATGATATCTAGACGCACAAGGACGAGTTCTATGGAAGTGCCGAGACTCGGGTGGTGGTATAGCGCTTGGACCTGTACTCAGGGTATTATACAAGGTTAGTACAGGGCTTTTTAAATGATTCTAAGGGTGTAGTTGGCCATGTATTTCAAAAATCCCGCTTCGCTGAAATTATGCCTCAATATACCCCCCCCCCCCCCCCCACCTTATCTCAATTGTGATTATTTTTTTGTAATCGTCGAGAGCCAAAGGAGCGGAATTTAATTGCAAAATCCATATTTCCTTACACAAATTTACCATTTTAAACGTATTTTGAGTTTCTAAGAATAAAAAAATCATCGCAATTGCGGTGGGGTTGGTGGGCGGGGTTTAAATTTTGCTTTTTTTTTCTTAATATACACAGTATTCTTCGAACAACACGATATTCAAAAATATGTTTTTAATTTATTGGAAAGAAATACGTATTTTGCAGTTACGCTTCGCCCTCTTGGTTCACGGCGAAAAAAAAATTATTACAATTGAGATTGGGCGGGTGGGCGGGCTTACATTTTGGCGTTAGGTATCCCTTATGAAAATTTCGACCCATTTTCGACGATTTACGAAATTTAACTAAATACATTTCGGGCCACAAGAGTCATTTCTGGCCTCATTTCTTCGATAACTTAAACAGTTTTTCCAGGATTGTTCATTGAAATATCGCAATTTAAATACAAAGTATTCTTATTAAGCTAGAATGGATAATAGATATTCAAAAATATTACTCCGTTATCATCAACACGCTATATTTTTGGAATCAGCATGTCGAGCTCTACGTGCATGAATTTTTTCACAATTTTTAGACGACTTCTTTAAAAGTGAAATTTTTTCAATTTTGACATTTTCGAAACTCAACTAAATACATTTTCGTGTAGATTTCGAGCTCTAGAACTCAAATTCGGCTTCGGTTTTTTGATACCTGCAACCGTTTTTCCAGAATTTAGCGTTGAAATTTCGAAATTTTTGAAATTTTCAAAAATTCGCATTTCGCAGCGATTTTTTCGAAAATGTTGCTTCGTGACCATTAACATGCTATATTTTTGGAACCAGCGTGTCGAGATCTACGTCCCAGAATTTTTTCATAATTTTCAGACCACTTTTTTAAAATTGAAATTTTTTAATGGTCCCCCCTTCTTCAAATTTCGCAAAAATTTTGGCATTTTCGAAACTCAACTAAATACATTTTCTTGTAGATTTCGAGCTCTAAAACTCAAATCCGGAATCGGTTTTTTGATACCTGCAACCGTTTTCCCAGAATCGACCGTTGAAATTTCGAAAATTTTTGAAATTTTTAAAAATATGCATTTCGCAGCGATTTTTTGGAAAATGATGCTTCGTGACGATCAACATGCTATATTTTTGGAATCAGCGTGTCGAGATCTACGTCCCAGAATTTTTTCATAATTTTCAGACCACTTTTTTAAAATTGAAATTTTTTAATGGTCCCCCCTTCTTCAAATTTCGCAAAAATTTTGGCATTTTCGAAACTCAACTAAATACATTTTCGTGTAGATTTCGAGCTCTAGAACTCAAATTCGGCTTCGGCTTTTTGATACCTGCAAACGTTTTTCCAGAATCGACCTTTGAAATAACGAAATTTTTTGAAATTTTCAAAAATTCTCATTTCGTACCGATTTTTTCGAAAATATTGCTCGGTGACCATCAATATGGTACATTTTTGGAATCAGCATGTCGAGATCTACGTCCCTGGATTTTTCCGCAATTTTTAAACAACTGTTTTATTAGTGAAATTTTTTCATAATATAATCTACATATATGTGGTTAATTTTTATTTATAATAAGACTGATTTTGACAAATGGTGTAGTTTCCAAGAAAATAAAGGGTGGGTGGGCGGGGCCAATGCTTGCCAAGGTAAGACTGATTTCGGAAAATGAGATACTCTGTAAGAAAAGAGAGGGTGGGTGGGCGGGGCTAGTACCTGCTAAGATAAAACTAATTTTGGCAGATGACAAACCTTCCAAGAAAAGAGAGGGTGGGTGGGCGGGGCTAGTACCTGCTAAGATAAAACTAATTTTGGCAGATGACATACCTTCCAAGAAAAGAGAGGGTGGGTGGGCGGGGCTAATACCTGCTAAGATAAAACTAATTTTGGCAGATGACATACCTTCCAAGAAAAGAGAGGGTGGGTGGGCGGGGCTAGTACTTGCCAAAATAAGACTGATATTGGTAAATGACCTAATGTCTAAGAAAATGAAGGGTAGAGGGTATATCATTCGGCAAAATCAGTCTTACCTTAGCATCTACTGGCGAAGGAAGTATTGTAATCGAGACCGTCGGTCGACTCTCTTCTACTTTTATGTTTTCTCGACCTTCCATGATCCCTAGAGTACGAATAGGTCTCCCGTTTCCGTCTGTCTGTCTGTCTGTCTGTTTGTCTGCCGTCCCGATTTTTATTAGACAGATCATTTCCGAAAGTACTGGACCGATTTTTGTCAAATTTTGTACTTATATTAGAAACATCATGTAAACGGTAAACCGCTAACCAAAATTTGTCAAATCATCCCCACCAATGATGTGATGACGTCACTTCAAAAATCCAAATTTATAAAACAACATTTTGGAATTTTGCGGGATAAATCCTATCTAAAATGTCCAGAATATGATGAGTCTGTACTTGTCATTTATTATTCCATTAATATTTTTGGGAGTTGCTTATACACGATGACTCAAAAAAATTAATGAATGAGTCAATTTATTTTATTGATTAAATCAGGAACGGTTCACTCCATTTTCCCAGAAAATTTTCGGAATACAATAGTTATTTTATACAAATTATTTTTCAATTTCCATTTTACACTGAATAAATTAGTCACTGAAATGGAGACAAGAAGTGAGCGAAGATGAGTTTAGGTTTTTCTAAAGAATTTTATAAGCACCTAGTAGCCCCGCCCACCTACCACCTCTTCATTCCAGTAACAACTCTTAATATTATTCAATCTTATCTTGGCAAGTACTAGCCCCGCCCACCCACCCTCTATTTTCTTAGAAGGTATATGATTTGCCAAAATTAGTTTTATCTTAGCATGTACTAGGCCCGCCCACCCACCCTCTCTTTTCTTAGAGGGAATGTGATTTGCCAAAATCAGTCTTATCTTAGCATGTACTAGGCCCGCCCACCCACCCTCTCTTTTCTTAGAGGGTCTGTGATTTGCCAGAATTGGTTTTATCTTAGCAAATATTATCTTATTCTTCAAATTTCGGCCATCGACACACCACATTTTTGGAATCAGCATTTCGAGCTCTACATCTCTGAATTTTTTCACAATTTTTAGACAACTTTTTAAAAGTGAAATTTTTAGAAATTTTCAAAAATTCGCATTTCATACCGATTCCTTCGAAAATTTTGATCCGTGACAATCAAATTAAAAAAAAAAGCTTTTCAAATAACAAAATTGTTCAATTGTTCCGCGACTTTATACAAACACTGTATATTTATACATAATTTATAGGTAATTATTTGTAAATAATTCCAAGACTGTTTACGAGTGACTTTCTATGCAATTTGCAATAAGTTATTTAGACCGGAACACAACTACATCATGTAAATAAGTAAATTCTAGTAAATAACAAATGTTACACTTTTCGCATTTATTTATAGCATTGTACTTTTTCCTACACAGCGGCACACTGCAGTTATAACTCCGCTCTTTGTTGAAGCGAGCGGCAAATCAGACTTACACAATCGTCCATAAAACTTACCCCGTTCATATACGCCAACAACATGTCTTGCAACTTCCTGTCATCATTACCCAAAAACGGTGAAAAAATTTTGTATGCAGCTTCGTCGAAAAACATGGCTACTTCTACAGTCAAAGCACTGGCCGGTCTATGACTTGCCGCTTCTCTAATATAGGGCATAATTTCCCCGGCTATGGGAAAGGGGTAAACGTCATCGTTATGTGAAATCATATTGGCCCGTTTGATAATGTGGGGGGTTGAACTATCGAGAGAATTTTCCAAAAGGGGCTCTCTTACAAGGGCTTGCAGGCGTTCGGTTAGAGGGTGAATTTCGAGGGTGGAGTCTTCCAACAAGATGAGTCCTTGCTGGAAAGATATAGTTAGGGATCTTGATCAACGGGGTTGGAAAACCTACCATGGTTCTAGGTTCACACGAGCTAATGGCCGCCACTGCGTCGCCATTTTGACTAATAAAGTGGCAACTTTTGGGGGGTTCAGGAAGAAGGGTCTGGAAATCGTCTTCTATTAAGAAGGTTTGGAGGTCTGGAGAAGCCAGGTGGTTGTTTTTTTGTAATTGTAAGCGAATTGGTCTGAAAAATTATTATTTTTATTTTTATTTTTTAAATAGATTTCTATATTTACCTTTGAAAAGCGTCAAACTCATAGTGGAAAGTGTCTTCATCTGAACTCAGTTCCACATTTGGTAAATTTACTACTTCATACTCAGGTATAGCGTTTTTGTCCCCAGTTTGAAAATAATACGCTAGTTCAGACTCAGTCATGTGATCATGCAAAGCCTCAATTACAAACCCCTGACCCAAACCCACGCAAAGCCCCACCAAACACAAACCCACCAACATCTTAATTTACTCTAAACCCCCAATTAGCCCGCCTAATTTTATATAATTTTTGTGTTTGTATTGACCATTCTGCTGGTACTCGGCGTTAAAATTTCAGAATAATTAAGATTAAGGCGCTCGTAATCAAGAACAACGACCTGAACAGGTGAAAAATTTATTAACAATTAGTTTTTTTAATTACAGAACGGATTTGGGGGAAACTTTTTCGTTCCATATCGTGACCCCATCGCAGGCACATATTGTCTTGGGGTTTTCGAAAAGTCCGGCCGATCTGGCGATGATTCCACAAATTATCCTTCTGTCGTTTGAACTGACCACCAAAGCTCGTCCGATTATGTTGGAAAGCTGCAAACGGGAGTTTTCTTTCTTGAACAGGGAACGGCCGGTGTTGGAGACCTGGATAGGGCCTAAATCGCCGCCTTGAGAAGGGTCGTAGACGTCTCCGACGCTCGCACAGCCTATAATTAAAAAATTGTAAGCGTTCTTTGATTTGTTACATTTGCTCCATTGTGGTGCGTGCTTCAGACAATTTTAAGTCTGCCAACATAAAATATAAAAAGTCCCACCTTGTGAAAGGTCCCCACACTCATGCACCGCCAGTTTTAGTTCTTCCCCGGGCTGCAACCCATCGATGGTTCCGTCAATAATGCACGAAGAGGGCGACACTTGTATAAATCTGACGACTCCCTGTATATTGGAAATACCGGTGTCTAAAATGGCAACACCCGCTGAACTTCCGGCGTATCCCCTAACTACCACTTTTCTCCCTGTGGATTCAAGCTTCTCCTGCACTTCCAACGTCGGCAACGTCGTGTTCACCACCACCGACCCTTTCTCCAAATCCACAAAAACATCCTTAATCCCGGGCTCACCCCCTAAAGCCTTCTTCACCGCCTCCACGCAGGACTCGCATGTCATCTGCACCGCAAACTCAATCTGGCTTTCTGGCATCGTGCCACAAACCCTCACAGCATGACAAAGCAAAAAAACGAACTTTGAGTTTAATTTGTTAAACAATTCGAGGTTATGTCGCTCCTAGGGGATTCGGCCGGGCGGTCGCCTACAGATGGCAACACCGCCTGTCACTTGTCCCTTGTCATTCCGCCAAAAATGACGATTTAATATTTAATTCGGAATTCTGTTTTTGAGGATGGAGCACGACGAAATCGTCCTGGAAGAAGGCGAGGTAGTTATTTTTGCGCGTTTTTGTTCATTCGTGAGGGTTTTCTTTGCAGTTGTCTGACGATTCTGATACTTATACCCCTCTGGAGCGACCCGCGGACTACTCAGGAAGCCAGCCAAATCCGCGCTTTCCGGTGGTTCTGCCGGAGTCCGAGAGCGAAGCGGAGTTGCAGTCGAGCGATTCGGACAGCGATTCAGACTGCAACCGGAAAAAAAGCAAAAAACCCAAGATTAAGCTGAAGCCGAAGCTGCAGCAGCCAAAACGCAAAAAGTATGATATTTGGAGCACGAGGGTGCAGGAGGATGTGCTCGCGGAGACGCTAAATAGCTGTGATGTTACCATTAAGGATAGGTCACGGGATGTGGAGAGTTATGATTATTTGAGTCACAGGGTTAGTAATAAGAGGACAAGGGATGATAGGAAGAACCCGCAGATTAGGTCTGTGGGGAGAAGCAGGAGCCATGAACGAACGAAGGGAAATGCCAGGAAAATCCAGGAGCTTGCAGTGGATGGGTCAAATACTCCAGAGGAAATCGCTAGGGATGTAGCTACTAAGTTATCTGAAGAAAAGGAAGAACTGATCTGTACTTAATTAATTATTCATTTAAAAATACAATTAACGGTTTTATTGTTGCAGTACGAGTTATCAACACTTTGGGTGTAGACAAAACATTCAACATCTTCAAAGAGACAAAACGGATAGAAGAGGAAGGTGGTATGCTCATCATGGTAATTTTTTCTCTTGACGTTTCAAATTTTTATCAAAATTTATTTTTAGAATCAAACCAGACGCAGGACCCCCGGCGGCGTCTTCCTCTTCCTAGTTAGGCACGACGATGACATAACCCCTGAGCAAAGAAGCAAGATCTTCGACGACGACCGAGAGAAAGCCAAAGTCATGATGAGAAACAAGCAGAAGAAAAAACTGAAGAAGTTGAAGGACGATATTGCCGCTTCCAAAAACAAACTTCTGCCGGATTTGCTAACAAGGGCTGAATTATTGGCAAAAGAGAATAATCGCGTAAGAAAAGAGACTGATGAAAGGGACGTAATTAACCCACCGCCGACCCCCGAGACAGATGGACACGAAAACAGCGGCGACGGCATGGATGCCAGTAATAACGGGATTGAAGCTCCTGAGAATCGTAGGAAATGTGAGGCGTATGATGATGATTTTCTTGATATCACGTCAAATGATATGGATTTGTTCTGAAGTTATTTATTTAGAGTTATGGAAAATCTAACATCTGCAACAAATAAAGTTATTACTATTTTCATGATGGTTGTTTTGGTGTTACAATTTGGGGGAGCGCGCTCTCGATGTGGTCTAGGGTGACAAGGGTTTTGTTCTGCGAAGAAGCTTGTTTGGCGGCTCGTAAAGACGCTTCCACGACTAGAAAGTTCGCTAGTTCGGTCATTAAGTCAACGGCGTCGTCGGAAATCTTCGTTTTGGGGTTGCTGAAGTGCGACTTCAGGGCTTCTTTGATTATGTCCTAGAAAACGGTGTCAATGGTCGAAATTTGAATTCTGACACTTACGTTACTAAAACGGGCGTTGATTTTGGAAATAAACGCTTCTTTGTCGTCTGTCATTTTCAAACAACAAAAATTTTTTTAAAAAAGTGGGGTTATGTTTACTTGTCGACGCTCCACCAATAGGCGAGCAGCTTTTCAGTCACCTGATGCTAGTTTAAATTTGCCGCGCAAACTGCAAACAAACTTAAGGGTGTTTCTACAGTCTACACCGAAATAAAACTCTTATCCTCTCGTAGGATGATATGTGTATATCATTTATTTAAAGGAGTTCAACTTGGAAGTAAGTCACATACAAATTTGATCTGATTGTACTACCAATTACCCTTCGCAGGCAAGTCGCTTATAAAATATAGAAAAAAGACCGACCAAAAATAAAGTTGTTCGCGTAAAAAACCTAAATAACCAAATATGTACATTAAATTTAAATTAAAAAACAATACTTGAACTTATATACATAGCTTCATCACGAAAATAAACGCTGTCCGGCAGCTGTATAATACTAAAATTTTACAATACGTACACTTTTCATGATAATATATCACAGTTCACTATAATAATCCTGAAAAAATAATTATTCAGACAAGAAAGTTCATAGAATAGTTCGGAAAAGCACATTAGTAATCATAAGACAGACCATTTCGTATTCAAGTGTTCGATGTTTGCAGTAGCCTTTGCTTCAGCGGCCTGATGTACATCCAACCGTCTTCTGAATATTTTTGGAACAACTGGAAATAAAGTCGGTGAGTGCGGTTAAAGATACTCGGTGTTTTTGTACCCTTGTTTTCCATTCTACTCCTGTGTCTTTTCTTTCTTTCGCTTCGTCGCGCTGTTTCTGTTCTAACATTTGCTTAGCATTGGTAGCCTTATCTATATCGTTAAACTTAAGTCCTGCTGTTACTTCTTTCCAGAGTCTCCTAGATTCGTTCTCCTCCTGCTGACTAATGGGTTTCACTTGTTTCTTATTTATATCTAGGGCGTTAACGTCGATGAATAATTCATTGTCCTGAACAAAAAAAGCCGGTGTTAACACTAGTTATTTACCATTTTAGACATGTTTTAAGTTTTTTGTTGTCGAAATAAGTATATGTGTAAAGAAAAAAAAAGGGAAAATGTAGCCCCACCCACCCGCCCTCTCTCAATTGTGACGATTTTTTCTTATTCGTCGAGAGCCGAGAAGGCGGAGCTTAACTGCAAAATCCCTATTTCTCCACGAGAAATTAAAAACATGTTTTAAGTATCGTGTTGTTCAAATAATACTATGTATATTAAGAAAAAAATAAAGCCAAAGATTAGGCCCCACTTATACCCGCCCCGATTTCAATTCTCAATTATGATGAATTTTTCATTCGTTGTCAGTTCGAGGGGCGGGGCTTAATTACAAGATCCATATTTGTCTACAAGAAATTACCATTTTAAACATGTTTTAAGTGTCTTGTTCTGAAAAGACGACGGCGTATATTAAGAAAAAAGGTAAAATATAAGTTTTAGATTTTACGATTTTTCAATTATTCCATTTTTTGCTTTGTTAGTTCTCCGATTTTACAATTTTTTGAGTTTTAAAGTTTTAGATTTTTAATTTTTCAATTTCGTGTTTTTTATTTTTTGGCAAAAGAACAAATTTAGGTGTCCAAACTAAAATATTGGAAAATTGTATCATTGAAACAATGAAGAATACAAAAATCTTAAAATGAAAATTCCAAAAATTTCAAAATGAAAAGCGAGAAACTAAAAAATCGAGACTCCAAAAAATTGTAAAAACATAGAAAAATTAAAAATAAAACTGCAAAATCGGTAATTGAAAAATTGGAAAAACGAAAAAATCAAAAATCCCGAAATTGAAACATCAAAAAATCGAAAAACGACACAATTTTGCAATTTTAGTTTTCAAGTTCTTTGCAAAAAAAAAAAAATTTTGCAAAATCGAATACTGTAACAGCGAAACATTAAAAAATGCAACAATTAAAAATCGAGAAATTGAAAAAATCAACAAAAAGAAAAAATTTTGCAGTTTTCGATATAAAATCTTTCAAATTATTTTTCCGATTTTTCATTTTTTAATTGTTCAACAAAAGGACAAATTTATTCAAATCGAAATTTTGAACTGAATTGAAAAATGAAAAAATTGGCAAATTGAAGAATTGAAAAAATAAAGAACTTGAAACCGAAAAAATGAGACAAAAAAACTGAAAAATGAAAAAATTGAACAATGGGATAATTGAAAAAGCAATTGGAAAATCGAAAAATTGTAATATTGAAACCTGAAAACCCTGATTAATTAAAAATCGAGAAAGTGAAAAATTGAAAAAACGGAAAACAAAAACTTCTATAAATTGAACAATGAAAATAAAAAAAATTAAAATGAAAACCGGAAAATTAAAAAACTAAGAAATTGTAAAAACGAAACATGGAAAAATTAAAAAATTGTAACATCGAAAAAACGAAACACTGAAAAAACGAAAAATTTAAAAGTTGAGAAATCCAAGAATTGAAAAAATACAGAAACTGAAAAATCGGAAAATGGAAAAGTCAAAAAGTGAATAATAAACCCTTAATACTTATTTGAAAAAAGTGAAAAATTAAAAATCGGCAAATTCATAAATGGAAAAATTGAAAAAATTGGCAAACTGAAAATTGGGTAAAGAAAAAACAATTAAAAAATGGAACAATTGAGAAAAATATAGAAACTGTAAAATCGAAAATTTGTAACACTGAAACATGAAAAGTGATAAATTAAAAATCTAGGAACTGAAAAATCGAAAAAACGAAAAATTGTAAAATTCAACAGATAGAAAATCGAAATATTAAAATATCTACAGGTTAAAAAATCGAAAAATACAAAAATTTCAATTTCATAATGAAAATCGAAAAATATAAAAATCTCGAATTGAGAAATCAAAAAATCGAAGAAACAAAATAATTTGGAATTACCCACTTGAATGTACTTTATTTTTAATTTATTTTCTCAATTTTTAGTTTTTTAATTTTTCAACAAAAGGACAAATTTATTCAAACTGAAATTTTAAAAAATCAAAAAATCGGAAAATTGGTACACTGAAAAATTGAAAAACCGAACAATTTAAAGGTCTACAATTGGAAAAGAAAAATTGTAACCTTAAAAATGAAAAAACTGAAAATTTAAAAAACAGAAAAATCGAACAATTGCAAAATTGAAAATCAAAAATAGAAAAAACTGAAACTTCGATAATTGAAAAAACAACTGAAAATTTGAAAAATTGACAAAAAAAGAAACTGTAAAATAGAAAAACTGATTAACTAAAAATCGAGAAGTAGAAAAATACGGAAAACAAAATCGACAAATTGTAAAATTTAAAAAATCGAAAACTGGAAAATTGAAAAAATAGCGAAAGTTAAAAATCGGATAACGAAAAAATCAACAATTGAAAAATCAAAAAATTGAGAAATCGAAGAACTGAAAAAATAAAGAAAACTTGAAAAAACCGAAAAACCGGAAAACTAAAAAATTGTAACATCGAAAAAACGAAACACTGAAAAACCGAAAAATTTTAAAGTTGAGAAATCCAAGAATTGAAAAAATACAGAAACTGAAAAATCGGAAAATGGAAAAGCCAAAGATTAAAAATTGGCAAATTTAAAAATGAAAAATTGAAAAACCAAACTTGAAATACCTACAAAAAAATTTAAAAAGATAGCAAACTGAAAATCGGGTAAAGAAAAAACAATTAAAAAATGGAACAACTGAGAAAAAGATAGAAACTGTAAAACCGAAAATTTGTAACATTAAAACCTGAAAATGTGATAAATTAAAAATCTAGGAATTGATAAATCGAAAAATTATAATTCAACAGGTAGAAAATCGAAAGATTAAAAAATTGAAAAATACTGAAAAATGAAACTGAAAAATTTCATAATGAAAATCGAAAAACTAAAAAATGGAGAAATCGAAACACGGAAAAATTGAAAAATGATCAATTAAAAGAACGAAAAATATAAAAATCTCAAATTTTGAATTACCTACTTGGAAGTACTTTATTTTTAATTTTTTATTTTCTTAATTTTTCGTTTTTTAATTTTTTAACAAAAGGACAAATTTATTCAAACTGAAATTTGAAAAAATCAAAAAATCGGAAAACCGAACAATTAAAAAATTGAGAAATCGAAGAACTGCAAAAATAAAGACACTCAAAATCGAATAATCAAGAGGTCCACAATTGGAAAAGGAAAAATTGTAACCTTAAAAATGAACAAACTGAAAATTTAAAAAACAAAAAAATCGAACAATTGCAAAACTGAAAATCAAAAATAGAAAAAACGAAACTTGAAACACCGAGAAATTTAAAAATTGTAATCTTAAAACTAGAGAAACTGAAACTTCGATAATTGAAAAAACAACTGAAAATTTGAAAAACTGAAAAAAGAAACTGTAAAAAAATCGAGAAATAGAAAAATATGGAAAACAAAATTTTCTAGAAATAGAAAACTCGACAAATTGTAAAATTAAAAAATAGAAATGTAAAAATTGAAAAAAATGAAACATTGAACAAATAAAAAAAAATCGAATAATTAGGAGGTCCACAATTGGAAAAGGAAAAATTGTAACCTTAAAAATGAAAAAACTGAAAATTTAAAAAACAGAAAAGCGAACAATTGCAAAACTGAAAATCAAAAATAGAAAAAACGAAACTTGAAACACCGAGAAATTTAAAAATTGTAATCTTAAAACTAGAGAAACTGAAACTTCGATAATTGAAAAAACAACTGAAAATTTGAAAAACTGAAAAAAAGAAACTGTAAAAAAATCGAGAAATAGAAAAATATGGAAAACAAAATTTTCTCGAAATAGAAAAATCGACAAATTGTAAAATTAAAAAATCGAAATGTAAAAATTGAAAAAAATGAAACATTGAACAAATAAAAAAAAATCGAATAATTAGGAGGTCCACAATTGGAAAAGGAAAAATTGTAACCTTAAAAATGAAAAAACTGAAAATTTAAAAAACAGAAAAGCGAACAATTGCAAAACTGAAAATCAAAAATAGAAAAAACGAAACTTGAAACACCGAGAAATTTAAAAATTGTAATCTTAAAACTAGAGAAACTGAAACTTCGATAATTGAAAAAACAACTGAAAATTTGAAAAACTGAAAAAAAGAAGTTGTAAAAAAATCGAGAAATAGAAAAATATGGAAAACAAAATTTTCTAGAAACAGAAAAATCGACAAATTGTAAAATTAAAAAATCTAAAACTGAAAAATTGAAAAAAATGAAACATTGAACAATAAAAAAAAATTCAAATACCGAAATCTTGAAAAAATAGCGAACGTAAAAAATCAGATAACGAAAAAATCAACAATTGAAAAATCAAAAAATAAAAATATCTTAAAAAATCGAAAAAACGAGAAACTGTCAAATCTAAAAATTATAACATTGAAACTGACGAAATAAAAATCGAGAAACTGAAAAATTGACAACAAAAAATTAAAAAATGCAAGAACTCCAAAATAAAAATCGAAAAGCTAAGAATCTTAAAAACATCAAAAATCGATGCGAATTAAGAAACATGACAGACCACACAGATGAAAGCAATAATATTCGACTTTGGGCCAGTTTGAATTTAGCGCCGATGTACTTTGTTGTGATTGGTCCGCACGGCTGCGGAAATTAATGTATGCTTGAAAAGATGACTATGTTTATTAAGAAAAAAAAAAAGGCAAAATATAAGCCCCACCCACCCGCCCTGCCTCAATTCTGATGATTGTTTTTATTCGTCGTAAGCCGAGGGGCGGAGCTTAATTATAAAATCCTTATTTTTCTACGAGAAATTACCATGTGAAATATGTTCTTAAGTCATCGTGTAATACAAAGAAAATCAAAAGAGAAGCCCCACCCATCCGTCTCGATCTCAATCGTGATGAATTTTCCATTCGTTGTCAGATCGAAAGGCAGAGCGTAATTGCAAAATCGATATTTCCCTATACAATTTTAAACAAGTTCTAAGTTTTTTGTTGTGAAAAAATGACTACATATATTAATAAAAAAAGGCAAAATGTAAGTCCTTGTAGTTGTAATACCTAATCTATTTTTGAGACGAATAGCAATAAATCGTGTTGATTTAAACGTCGAGAACTATCTTTAACATGCGAACAGGTGATTAAATGGCTTAATATTAGTGGACCTCATTATCTCTATCAAAATTTCATTTTCGTGGAATTATAGCTGTCAACCAGCCTTATTTTAGGGGATTTTGCTTCAAGTTGGTAGCACTGCATACTACTACAACGTAACGACGAACAGCAACGCCAGCAGCAGTTTATAAATCGACCTTCAACATTATTCTCGTGTTTCTTAATTTATTTTGTATACCATTGATTATTTTTTTTATGAAAAGCGAAGAATAAGAAACTAGGTCAACAGAATCGTAGAGACCAAGTTATGTAAAACACACACATAAGAAGCCTCTCACTAAGATAAGCTTTCAATACAAAGCTAACTTTTTACTAGCACGATTATTTCTAAAAGGCGGCACAATAGTAGCCGTGCGCATTTTTGAAGCGGCACAAGCGTTATACAGCAAACCCCGTCCTTACCCTATCGTTCCACTTCGCCTCCATCACCCCATTCCACTCCCCCATTATGGTCAAAAACGACTTCTTGTCGTCCGGCCCGTACACCTCGGCGACTATCTTGTGCTTCTTATTTCCATAGAACGGTTTCGTCAGAAACTCGATAGTGCTGTAGTACCCCGTCTTCTGGCACGTGATCGTAACCGTACCCCCCAACTCGATCCAAGGAACTGTCAATATCGAACGACCGTAGCCGTTCGGGAATGTAACTGTATACTCTTCGTCGTGATCCAGAACCGAAACTATACCCTGTCCTATATTATACACGCATACGGAGAGCCCCAAGAACTTGGACTTGGTGTAAACGTGGGCATTAAAGCTGATGCGCTTGTTGTAGTGTTCAGCGTAGAAGGCTGAAACTGGAAAAGCGTATTAAGTCGAAGCACGTAGCCAGCGTGCGGTTTTAGAATACGTGACCAAAAATTATCATCGTAATTTACAATCGATTGTCGGTGTTGATTAGTTTAGAGCAGTCGCGGGTAAACGTCACTTACTGGGCGGATGGTGCGACACCTGCTCCGCGATGAACGACAGTTGGTCCTTCCTGCACCAAGGCACGGGTCCGTCCTGGACGGCCGCCTCCTCCTCCCTGCTCTCTGGGAACTCCCAGTGGCACCTGAAGATCTCGCCCAGGATGGGGTTGTACGGTTTCTTCGCGACCGCGCTCTTCCGGCCGGCGTGGTACGACGACAGGTACCACTTGACCACCTGGACGATGCGGTCGCGGGGGTCCTTCAGCTCGGCGATCCGGATGAAGAGGTCGGGGTGGGCGAAGTAGTCGGCGTACATCTCGAGGAGGGAGCGTCGTTCGAGGATGAAGGTGGGGAGGACGACCTTGGTCAGGTCCATGCCGATCTTCACTTGCGAGAGGAGGTGGCGGATGACCGAGCCCTGGCTCTCCATTTCGACGTCGTACTCGTCGTCGTCGTCGTAGAGGGCTGATTAAAAATAGTCGGTTGATTAATAAGTGAGAGGGGATCGATACGGATCGGGGTGGTGCTGTGTGTTATTTATTTAAGGGGTCTTAAATATGCCACGGTGGAAATGAAGAGAGGATGATGAATGTCGAGAGAGGGGGGCGACGGTATCCGAGTAGCATTACAATGGGATCCGAAAATTTCAATTTGGGTTGAGTCCTTGACGGAATTCAATTCGGTTATTTGAGTGTGTCGAGTGGACTCGGGCTCGAAGCGCGTGATTTATTTAGCTGCGTAAACTTGGATTCGTACTTTGTTTTTTGTATTTGCTTACCAGCCATTTAGAAAACAATTGTACAGACTAAGTGGTGAGGCGACACAGTGACGTCAGCCGCCATCTACACAAGCACGTGCTCCAACTGACCTCGAGTTTTCCATAAATGTTGGATGTCGTTTCACACTTGTAATTTTTCGTCGGTTCTTGATGGGATTAACAGAAATGGGTTTCGGAGGCCCGGCTTAAATATAGCGTCAGTCAACGTGTCACTGTCGATTTCGTTTCAATCAAAGTAATGAAATTTCATCTGCTAGTCGATAATCAATACCGATAAAAAAGTGTGGGGTCAGTGATGGCGAAAACGTATCATTTCTTAAATTATCTTTAGTACGATTATTCAACATTTCGGTATTAAAAATAAAACAGTAACTGCTTCTGAGCAAATAAAAACTGCACTCAAACTTTTGAAGCACTCTTTAGATAAGATAAGGGACAAAAACGTGCATTTTTTAATTCTCATTATCATTGGTTTAGTTTTAATTCCTGCAGTAGCTGGTGTTAAGTCAACGGATAAATACAGGTGCACCAAAAACAGAAAAAATTTGGCTGAAAAATATTTTGGTAGATAAATAGATTTTATTGTTTTTGTTTACTCAATATTGGCCCAAGTTAAACACACACTGATTTTAAACAAAAAAGGTCGAAGTTTACGCTTGATTCATAGTTTTAGAGATAATGAAGATAAATTTCGATTACGAAAAAACGCTGCTTGGAAACAACTCGAACAAAAAACAACCGAGGCGTCTTTATTACATTTGTATGTTAATGAAACCTCTCCTCTTCACTCACCGTTCCCAAATTTTGTCGAATATAAATTTTATGTAGTTATAAGTGTGTTGACAATGTGATTTTACATTCATATCACAATTTAAATAAAATCCTAAAATATTCCAATCCAGCGTATTATAATTAAATCATTTTTGAATAATTTGAATTTGAAAAAAAATTCAATCAAGAAAATCGTTAAACCTAGGCAACCAGGTGCATGTTTAGTTATTTTTCTGGTAGTTCGTAGTTCTGCTAGGGAATTTTAGTCAGAGGGTTGGTAGTGAGAGGATTGGTAGCGAGAAGTTGGCTTTGCTTGGTAGTTGGTAGCTCCTCTGGGGGATTCTCTGTTGAGAGGGTTGGTAGAAGTTGATTTGGTGGCTAGAGGGGCGAGAGGGTCACTTTTGGTTTGTTGTTGTGGTAGTATAACACTTATGTATAAGCATCCAGAAACTTATTCACGACTTAACAAACAAAGGACGTTAGGTCGTGTTAAACTCAGTTAATGATTAAAATCCTAACATGAACTGTGAATTTACAAACGTGTATGCCAAAATTGTTGTCAAATTTATCATGAACGTTCGTCTCAAAGGGTTTTCCAGTTTCCTAAAAAAAATTGCACGATCGACTTGAGTGTGTTTTTTCTAATTTGTCATTTTTTGAAGTAAAAAGTCGAACATTGAAAATATTTTCTGAAAATGCACTCTGTATTTTTAAAATTATTAAAGTTACAGGAAAACGTTTTCCCTAAATCTTTTGATGTTCAAGATTTTAAAGATAAAGCATTTAAAATTGTTATTCCGGAACAAACAATTAATGAGCAAAATATCAAAATTCAAAATTTAATAGCCACTGCAAATGAACTATTAGCGCAAATCAAGTTCTGATTCTTATTCTAATTAACAATAAAATTAACAATAGTAAATGTGATGAAGAAGGATACATAAAAAATTCTTACATAAATATAGCAATTTAGTTTTTGTCTTAGCAGAAGTGAAATTATCATAAAATATATCAATCTTGTGAGCTGAAGAGGGGGTGGTTGGAGGGGCTATTGCTTCCTTATGAAAGATTCTGTTGGAAAAAATTAAACTTAGCCCCGCCCACCCACCCGTTCTCTCATTTTCTTCTTCAGAAATAAGAAATAAATGCTATAACAAATAAGTAGTATAACAAAAAATTAACGCCGTTTTTAACAGCCTACGTTCTAATAGTTCCCATTTTCATTTTACAAAAGAAAATATAATTCAACGGGCCCACCCACCCCGCCTCCATTTCATTGATTCATTTTGTCTATTCCGATCTCAATTTAAGAGAGATAAAATAGTTAGAATGAGATTGGGGGCTAGTATCTGCTAACATAAGGTTGATTGTGGCAAACGACATATTGTCTAAGAAAATAAAGGACGGGTGGGTGGGCGGGGCTAAAACTTGCTCAGATAGGACTGAACAGTATTAAGAGTGGCTACTGGTACATAGAAGTACTGCTTACTCATAAAACTAGAAGAAAACTAAATTTACCTCCATCCACTTCCTTTCGCTATTTCATTGACGTATTTTATTTAGCGTAAAATGAAAATTGAAAAAATAACTGCATCCATATAATTTAAAGTAAACAAATTTAGAAAATCTACGTGAAACAGATTCCAGGAGATTTCTGTAAATCTGAAAATGCAGTCTCCAGATCACACAGCAATATTCCAGTTTAGACCTTATAAGGGTATTAAATAAAAGTTTAATGCCTGTGATATCATTAAATTCGGATGTGTTTCTAATTATAAAATCCGCATAGGAGGCGTTGTAGCACGAATTTGAGGCTCCTGGTCGTGGCTGTTCTCCTACCCACGACTGTGATTCTATCTATCGTAAACAAAGCCGCACAGCACATCTCCATGACGAACATGCCGTACGAGCAGGCCGTTACGGCCGCAACATCGTGGTTGGGTGCCGGCTATGAACTAAATCCCGCCAGCTGGACAAGGAACCGCGCCCTCCGCTTCTGCCACGTATTTCAGTGTTGTTTAACCTAAATTCTATTTAAATGTTCAATTCTGATAACTCTGATATTAACGACAACTGAACAAGTTAAACTAAGGTTAAAATTGTGAGATAGAGAAAAATTGTATGAGGTAAAAAATTGCAAATCTAAAAAAAAATACATGAGTTTAAAATTTTATGTCCATTCGAGTTATAACATAGCAGGCAATCTGGAGGTTCAAAATGGCGTCGGACGAATTCGTCGTTCAAAAAAATGCGTCAAATATGTCGCCCAGAAATGTGACCAATCCTGTGGCGCTGTGCAAATGATGGTCTAACTCAAAGGAATAAAATGCACGTCCCGCATGAGCCACAATGTTGTTAATATATTCAATGAGATTTTACAGTTCAAACATGTGCTCGGTTTGAAAATACTCTTTCAACATGGCCGCTGCCAAAACAAAGAATTTACCTGATGTTAAATTATGCCACACTTTATCAATGATTCAAGCAAGAAGTGCACGATATTATGAATTCTACCGCACTTTCACGGTCTTTTCCCAGAGTGAGCAACGTTAAATTGATTTAACTGCCGTAAACTAACTATTAGCAATCTTGCGTGAGGAATTAAGAAGTATAACACTTAAGTATAAGCATTCAGAAACTTATTCACGACTTAACAAACAAAGGACGTTAGGTTGTGTTAAACTCAGTTAATGATTAAAATCCTAACATGAACTGTGAATTTACAAACGTGTATGCCAAAATTGTTGTCAAATTTATCATGAACGTTCGTCTCAAAGAGTTTTCCAGTTTCCTAAAAAAAATTGCACGGTCGACTTAACTGTGATTTTTTATAATTTGTCATTTTTTGAAGTAAAAAGTCGAACATTGAAAATATTTTCTGAAAATGCACTCTGTATTTTTAAAATTATGTTTTAAGGTGCACTTTGATCAAGAAGATTTCGTCTGCGACTTAAAGTTACACGAAAACATTTTACCTAAATATTTTCATGTTCAAGATTTTAAAGATGAAGCACCATTTAAAATTGTTATTCCGGAACAAACAATTAATGAGCAAAATATCAAAATTCAAAATTTAATAGCCACTGAAAAAGAATTATTAGCGCAAATCGAGTTCTGATTCTTATTCTAATTAACAATAAAATTAACAATAGTAAATGTGATGAAGAAGGATACATAAAAAATTCTTACATAAATATAGGAATTTAATTTTTGTCTTAGCAGAAGTGAAATTATCATAAAATATATCAATGTTGTGAGCTGAAGAGGGGGTGGTTGGAGGAGCTATTGCTTCCTTATGAAAGATTCTGTTGGAAAAAATTAAACTTAGCCCCGCCCACCCACCCGTTCTCTCATTTTCTTCTTCAGAAGTAAGAAATAAATGCTATAACAAACAAGTAGTATAACAAAAAATTAACGCTGTTTTTAACAGCCTACGTTCTAATAGTTCCCATTCCCATTTTACAAAAGAAAATATAATTCACCGCGTCCACCCACCCCGCCTCCATTTCATTGATTCATTTTGTCTATTCCGATCTCAATTTAATAGAGATAAAATCGTTAGAATGAGATTGAGGGCTAGTATCTGCTAACATAAGGTTGAATGTGGCAAACGACATATCCTCTAAGAAAATAAAGGACGGGTGGGTGGGCGGGGCTAAAACTAGCTCAGATAGGACTGAACAGTATTAAGAGTGGCTACTGGTACATAGAAGTACTGCTTACTCATAAAACTACAAGAAAACTAAATTTACCTCCATCCACTTCCTTTCTCTATTTCATTGACGTATTTTATTTAGCGTAAAATGAAAATTGAAAAAATAACTGCATCCATATAATTTAAAGTAAACAAATTTAGAAAATCTACGTAAAACAGATTCCAGGAGATTTCTGTAAATCTGAAAATGCAGTCTCCAGATCACACAGCAATATTCCAGTTTAGACCTTATAAGGGTATTAAATAAAAGTACAAATGCATGTGATATCATTAAATTCGGATGTGTTTCTAATTATAAACTGAGTCGTAAATGCACGATTTAAAATATGTTCAATATACGAGCTGAAAGACAGAGCACAACAAAAATACGCATAGGGGGCGTGGTAGCACGAGTTTGGGGCTCCTGGTCGTGGCTGTTCTCCTATCCACGACGGTGATTCTATCTATCGCAAATTCGCGGTTGAATGCCGGCTATGGACAGAAACCGACAGCGTCACGTCATCTCGACCGCCCCTGACTTATATTCAAACTTGCATCTGTTGTGCAGATGGCGCGATAAATCCCGCCCGCTCGACTAGGAACCGTGCCCTCCGTTTCTGCCACGTATTTCAGTGTTATTTAACCTCAATTCCATTTAAATGTTCAATTGTTATAACTCTGATATTAACGATAACTGAACAAGTGTGAAAGTTTCAAAAAGAGCAGTAAACAACATTTAAATTCGCCAGGCACTCTCGTGAAGTTTTAAACAACAAAGAATTGTTATCTGAGATTAAGATCAGACATCAGACGATTTATATGATGCAAAGATTTATAAAACAAAAGATCTGGTGTGAAGTAAAACTTGTGCAGACAAGATCATTACTAAGGTTAAAATTGTGAGATAGAGAAAAATTGTATGAGGTGCAAAATTGCAAAACTAAAAAAAAGTCCACGGTATTATGAATTCTAGCGCACTTTCACGGTCTTTTCCCAGAGTGGGGCAACGTTAGATTGATTTAACTATCGTAAACGAACTATTATCTTACGTATAAGCATACACTTATTCACGACTGAACAAAGAACGGGTCCTGACTCCTAGCAAGTACTTCAGCTAAACAAATTTCGGGACCGTTAAATTGTGTTAGACTTAGTTAACGATTAAAATCCTAACATGAACTGTAAATATACAAACAATAAAACAAATTCACACACGTATTGGCCTTGAAAAAACCGCAAGAATTAGCTACGCGTATTAGGGAGACTGCCAAACCAAGTAAACTTAACCTAGCTAAGTCACCACGTGGTACTTACTTCTTAATTCCTCACGCAAGATTGCTAATAGTTAGTTTACGGCAGTTAAATCAATCTAACGTTGCCCCACTCTGGGAAGACCGTGAAAGTGCGGGAGAATTCATAATATCGTGGACTTCTTGCTTGAATCATTGATAAAGTGTGGCATAATTTAACGTCAGGTAAATTCTTTGCTTTGGCAGCGGCCATGTTGAAAGAGTATTTTCAAACCGAGCACATGTTTGAACTGTAAAATCTCATTGAACAAATTAACAACATTGATATATTTTATGATAATGATAAAGTGGATTGCTGCAATTTTTTTTAGGAAACTGGAAAACCCTTGGAGACGAACGTTTATGATAAATTTGACAATTTTGGCGTACACGTGTTTCTGACAACCAATCATATAACCTAAAATATTTTAAAGTTGAAACTGTCATTTCGTGTTCACACTCTTATTAAAAACGATATATTCTGTCAAGGCACTCTAGTTTTTTTCGTAATAAAAGAATTTTTTGCGCATATTTTGTTTTGATGCATATATTATCCATAAAAGTACAAAAGTAATTAATCTGATGCACCATGTAAAAAAAAAAATGTATAATTCGAGTTCGTCCTGGCAAACGAACTCTCGGAACGCCAACTTTGTTACGCGTGTATTGTATTAAAAAAATAGGTCACGAAGAAGTATGAATACACATATCCGCATACCGATCCAACGACAGTGAGTTGAAGAAACTACAATGTTAACACAATGTTGTGTATGCATAAAAAAAACAACAACAAAGTTGTTTTCCCTTACTACTTACCATCGTAGTCAATATTGCGGACATCCGTCGACAACCCACTCTCCTGCCTAACGGACGGCGTCTTACCAATAATCGCTTGAGAAGTCGTTTGTTTATTGCCAATAGCTAGCGCCGTTTGTGCCTCTTCGTCGAAGGACCTCAGACTACTAAAAAAAAAAAAAACCACTTCAAACTCATTTCAACTTTCGAAACACGACTTTACCTCCTACGCCTAAAATTCAAGCGGCTATTCAAAAGCCTAATCATGCTTATACTATTATTATTATTATTATTATTATCCTATTGGTGTTCACTAATAAGGCCCGCGTTCGGCCAGGCTAAGAAACTTTTCTCCTCGTGCGCTTTACGCGGAAAACCACAAACATACCGTCCATTTCGAAAGGGAGATCAATAGAACGATGTCCGCATCGATTCGCGGTCAAAGGGCACGTCGGATTTGTGCATTGTGATTATTGTCGGCGGATTATTAGGGATTATTTACGGATCACGTGCAAGGTGGTGTGTTTGGCGATTATTGCGGAATGGGAGGGATGAAATTCGGGGGTCGGATCGACGGCGGCGCCGCGGCGCCCACGCACGGCGCATACTCTCAAGGTCAATAGCACGGGCGAAACTGCCACGGGGAAACGATCGGGTGGAAATCGGAGATTAAGCAGATAAAAAATAAATATAGGAAAAATCTGGTTTTTGTCAACAAAAAAAAAAAAATGATTAATTGTAAATACATAAAGTCAGAAATCAGATATCAAAGCTAAAAATATTCTCTCAAATTAGCCGAAGGCACTACAAATTAATTTCAGTTTCGATATCTCGACCCTGAATTATAAATCGCTTTTAGAATTCGTGTATAGCAATTCTAAAAAAAGAGCGCCGTATTTTCCTGCGAAGAATTCAATGTGTTTTCGGTGCCGCCTTCAACTTGATGCGGAAGTGTCCCGGTGGTGGTTAGCGGCGAAAATTCCGCATTCTCGGTGAATTATTGAAACAACTCTTGATGCAGCTGATAGGGCTACGTTCTGGCTTAAAAACTGATGATGACTATTTAAAAGTCGGGATGATCAAATTTTACGAGATACGCGTCTTTGTGACGTCAGTAATTAAATCGGATTACAGCGTAACTGTTTTGTTTAATTAAGTTCTCGAGTCGGGCAGACAGGATGTCTCGAGGTTATTGTTTAAAATCGTCAGATTTCCTCATGAGCTACTAGAGTAATAGGTTTATATGAAGGGAATTTTAGCAGATTAAAATGAATTAATCGCAGTGTGTTAGTTGAGATGAAATAGGATATACTTAAAAGCTTTCTCTAAATTAAACAAAGGAGGAATTAGGTGATAAGTATCCCCATTAAAAAAATATTCCTACACAAAATTTCCATCGTGCAATGATTAGTTTTATGTTAGGTCTCCCGTTTCCGTCTGTCTGTCTGTCGTCTGACCGGATTTTTATTAGACTGACGACTTTACAAATTAGTGGATCGATTGTTGTTAAATTTTATATGTGTAGGATTATAGTGTAGATGGTAAAACGCTAATCAAAATTTGGCTAATTATTCGTACCAAAAATAGGATAACGTCATCTCCAAAATTTATATTGGTAAATATGTACTTGTGACGTCCAGATTTTTTGGGAAAAAAGTGAAATTGTATAACATTCAACCATTTAACTTTGATGTTGGAAAACCGACTGCTCTGAAATCGTGAACGCTTTAAGGTTACAGGAAGGATTTTTCGATTTTCCGAGTTTTTGTGTTTTCGATTTTTCTATTTTCGGAATTACTGATTCTCAGATTTTTCGAATTTTCTATTTGTCCCTTTTTTGACATTGGAATTTTCGTTTTTTTGAATATGTGTTTGATTCATCGAGTTTTAGATTTTTCCATTTTTCGACTTTCCTAATTTTCGACTTTCCGAGTTTCCTATTTTAGAATTTTCGATTTTTTGGGAACATCTGAATCATCGACTTTTTCATGTTTCGAGTTTTCAATTTTTTCACTTTTTGTTTTCTCGATTTTTCGACTTGCCGATTTTTCAATTTTCGAATTTTTTCGATTTTCAATTTTTCGATCAATTTTCAATATTTAGACTTTTCTATATTTCATTTCTTTATTTTCCAAAGTCGCGATTTTCAAATTTTCGTTTTTCCGAATATTTGATAAATCGAATTTTCCATTCTTCGATTTTTCAATTTTTCCATTCTTCAGTTTGTCGACTTTTCTATTTTTACATTCTTCAGCTCTTAGAATTTCATTTTTTTACTTTTCGATTTTTGATTTCTCGAGTTTTCGACTTAAGATATTTCGAATTTTTCGAATATTTGATTCATTGAATTTTCCATTCTTCGATTTCTTTAATTTTCGATTTTTCAATGTTGTTATTTTTACATTTTTTGAGTATTCGATTTTCGATCTTGGATTTTTCAATTTTTACAGTCTTCAGTTTCTAGACTTCACAATTTTTTTTACTTTTCGATTTTTCGAATGTTCAATTTTTCCATTCTTTAGTTTTCCGATTTTCCAGTTTCACGACTTTTCGAATTTTTTATTTTTCGAATTTTAGATATTCGAATTTTCAATTTTTCCATTTTTCGACTTATAATGTTTCGGTTTTTCGATTTTTGAATATTCGCTTTTTCAATATCGAATTTTCAATTTGTTCGATTTTTATTTTTAGATTTTTCAGTTTTTCTATTTTTTGATTTTCCGATTTTTCTTTTCAATTTTCAGAATACATATTTGAATCATTGATTTTTCCTTCTTTTCTAGTTTTTTTTTACTTTCTGATTTCTCGATTTTTCTACGTACCGATTTTTCAATTATCGAATTTTGTCGACTTTCAATTCTTCGATATTTCAAAATTACGGCTTTTCGAATATTTGTGATATAGAATTTTCACATTTCCGATATTTTGAAATTTCGATTTTTTTGTTTTTTGACTTCCCGATTTTAGAATTTTGGATTTTTCGACTTAAGATATTTCGAATTTTTAGGATATTTGATTCATTGAATTTTCCATTCTTGGATTTCTTTAATTTTCGATTTTGGTTTTTTCAATTTTTACAGTCTTCAGTTTCTAGACTTCACAATTTTTTTTTACTTTTCGATTTTTCGAATGTTCAATTTTTCCATTCTTTAGTTTTCTGGTTTTCCAGTTTCACGACTTCTCGAATTTTTTATTTTTCGAATTTTAGATATTCGAATTTTCAATTTTTCCATTTTTCGACTTTAATGTTTCGGTTTTTCGATTTTTGAATATTCGCTTTTTCAATATCGAATTTTCAATTAGTTAGATTTTTATTTCTCGATTTTTCAGTTTTTCTATTTTTTGACTTTCCGCTTTTTTTTTCAATTTTCAGAATATTTGAATAATTGATTTTTCCTAGTTTTTTTACTTTTCGATTTCTCGATTTTTCTACGTACCGATTTTTCAATTATCGAATTTTTTCGACTTTCAATTCTTCGATATTTCAAAAGTACGGCATTTCGAATATTTGTGACATATAATTTTCACGTTTTCGATATGTATTTTGAAATTTCGATTTTTTGTTTTTTGACTTCACGATTTTAGAATTTTGGATTTTTCGACTTACGATATTTCGATTTCTAGATATTTCATTTCTTGAATTTTTCAGTCTCGATTTTCGTTTTCGAATTTTCTATTCTTTAGTATTTGGGCGGCAATTTTTTTACTTTCCGATTTTCGAATTTTTAATAATTCTATTCATCAGTTTTTCGATTTTTCAATGTTTGTATTTCTCGATTTTTTGATTTCTCGAGTATTCGATTTTTCATTTTTCAATTTTTACATTTTTAGTTTTTACACTAACTTTTCAATTTTTTTATTTTTTGATCTTTCAAATGTTCAATTTTCCATTCTTTAATTTATGGATTTTTAAAATTTTCGTTTTTTCGAATACTTATGTAATTGATTCATCGAATTTTCGATCTCCGGTTTTTTAATATCGAATTTTGTTGTTTTTTCTTTCGATTTTTCGATTTATCAATTTTTCCATTTTTTGACTTTCCGATTTTTCTATTTTAGAATTTTCAGATTTTTCAATATTTTGATTCTTGGATTTTTCAATTTTCGGAATATTTGAATCATCGATTTTTCCATGTTTTTAAATTTTTTTTACTTTTCGATTTCTCGATTTTTCAAATTTTTTTCCTTTTCGTTTTGTCAGTTTTTCGATTTTCAAATTTTCGGTTTTCCGAATATGTAATAATTGATTCATCGAATTTTCGATTTTTCTATTTTTCGACTTTTAGATATTCGAATTTTCAATTTTTCCATTTTTCGACTTACGATGTTTTGGTTTTTGGAATCTCCGGTTTTTCAGTTTTTCCATTCTTTGACTTTCCAATTTTTCTATTTTAGAATTTTCGGCTTTTTCAATATTTCGGTTCTTGGATTTTTCAACTTTCGGAATATTTGAATCATCGATTTTTCCATGTTTTTCAATTTTTTTACTTTTCGATTTCTCGATTTTTCAATTTTCGAATTTTTCGACTTTCAATTCTTCGATAGTTCAAAATTTCGGCTTTTCTAATATTTGTTACATCGAATTTTCAAGTTTTCGATATTTTTAAATTTCGATTTCTCTGTTTTTCGCCTTCTCGATTTACGAATTTTTCGAATATATGAATCTTGGATTTTATTTAATTTTCGAATATTTTTTTCATGGAATTTTAGTTTTTTCGAATATTTGATTCATCGAATTCTTCATTTTTTCGATTTTTCAATGTTTTTATTTTTCGATTTTTGATTTTTCAATTTTTACATTCTTCAGTTTCTAGTTTTCATTTTTTTTTACTTTTTATTTTATCGATTTTTCAAAATTTTTTCCTTTTCGTTTTGTCAGTTTTTCGATTTTCAAATTTTCGGTTTTTCGAATATGCAATAATTGATTCATCGAATTTTCGATTTTTCTATTTTTCGACTTTTAGATATTCGAATTTCCAATTTTTCTATTTTAGAATTTTCGGCTTTTTCAATATTTCGATTCTTGGATTTTTCAACTTTCGGAATATTTGAATGATCGATTTTTCCATGTTTTTCAATTTTTTTACTTTTCGATTTCCCGATTTTTCAATTTTCGAATTTTTCGACTTTCAATTCTTCGCTACTTTGAAATTTCGATTTTTCTGTT